GGAAATGCTATCTTCACTTTTCCAAATACTCCAGTGAAGTGTGCAGGGGCTCCTCAGAAGATCATGTATTTATCAGAGGCCTACTGGAGGAAAGTAAGTATTTTACTCTCTCTGCCATTGCTTGTTCCCACAGCTGGAAGGAAGGAAAGCTTTTTCTAAGGGATTCATATTAACTAAAACAAATAAAAACCATAAGAGAGGAATGTGACTCAGGATTATTAAAGTGGCTGAGTTGCTTTTTCTATTATTAATGATTAATAAATGAAGCTGAATCAAACATAATTATTTATCATATTTTTAATGCTGGAGAAAATCGTAAAATTCAGAATCCATAGGGAAAAAACTGCTTACTCTTGCTTTTGGCAAGCTACAGGTATAACTGTTCTCAGCCTAATTTTTAACTTCAGGTGGTGCACTAAAATAACGAGGCCAGAATTAACTAACTTTTGATACTTTAAGGACTTAATCCCTGTTGCTATTTGTCTTTCTGCTAGTCTGAAGAGTGGCTATACTTGCTCCTTGTCGTGCAGTCTTTGCATGAGGATGAGTTTTAGCCAGGCTTGTTAAAGCAAGCTTAGTGGAAACAAAAGACACTGTCAGGTAGAAGTGTCAGGCTTTGTCTGTGTTTGTTTCATGAGCTGTCTGCGTGTAGAGTATCTGAATAATGCATAAAAGTGAAGGTTTCAGAATGCTCTGTAATGCGAAGCTGCTACAAGTGCTTAACCTGGTACAGCAGTTTCTCAGTGCATTGCAGTCACCTCTTCTCACTAGCAATTTGGTCTTCAGTACCTCAGAAAAGGCAAAGATTGTCTCGTCTAGCTTCTAACAGTGTGAAATAGCTCTAATGTTAGTACTTCATTAATAATTGACCTGCGTTAATAATTCTATCAGCTCTTCAGTAGTGCAGCATCGTTCTTTTGTCTCTGCTAGCTTGTCATTTCTTAATAAAAAAAGGCTGATTTGATCTCTTCATGCAGACGGGAAAACGATCCAAAGCAAACATAATGTTCAACACTTCACTTGGTGTCATTTTTGGTGTTAAGAAGTATGCTGATGCATTGCTTGAAATAATAAAGGAGAGGAATATTGCTGTTAACTATAAGCGCAACCTTGTAGAAGTTCGAGCAGACAGGCAGGAAGCTGTGTTTGAAAACCTGGACAAACCCGGAGTGACTGAAGTTCATCAGGTCAGGAGCTTCCACACCTCTAGTTTTATCCTATTTCTTTTCCTTGTGTCCTGTAACATAACTGCTGCACTATAATCACATAATGTCTGCTTTGCTGTATACTGCCATGTCCTCCCAAGAGTACCATCTCCAACATTAGCAGATTAAAAAGTTTGAAACTAAGGTGGAGAGAAGGAAAATAAATTTCATAAACCATGCTTGGAGTCCTGTACACCTTGTTAGCATAACTTGGGAATGACTCACATGTATATGGAGGAAGGCAAAGTGCTCTTATGCCAGTCTAAATGGAGTTGCCTGATAAGGTTCATTTTAGTAAAAGGACACGCTTCAAATCTGAGAGCACATTTTCATTCTATATACTTGTGTTTAAAGAAAAAAATAAAACACAAAAAAAACCCCTCTCCACACTGTCCCTATTGCCTTGTATCAACACAGGTGTAATTTGCTTTTATAAACCAGCCATTGATTGCCTTTTCTTTCTGTCTAGTATGAAATGCTTCATGTCACACCCCCAATGGGGCCACCTGATGTACTCATCAACAGTCCTGTCTCGGATGGAACTGGCTGGGTGGATGTAGATAAGGAAACTCTGCAACACAAGAAGTATCCTAATGTATTTGGTATTGGAGACTGCACCAACCTTCCAACATCAAAAACTGCTGCAGCTGTAGGTAAAGTTGCATGCGTGTGTGTGTGTAATGAAAAGTTTGGGAGTAACAGTAAATCTTCTTGTTTAGTTTGTTACTCCTGAGGTCTTGACTTCAATTAGTTCCAGCTTTCAAAAAGACCCAAGTCTCCTGGACCAACTAATTAGCTACAGACCATGATGATACCATTAATTTACAGTTCTTGTTCCAAATGCCTCACAGATGAACTAATTCTCCTTTCTGTGTTCACAGAATGGCGTAAAATGAGTGTACCACCCTTGCATTCTGTCAGCACTCAGTAACAAAACTTTCTTCTCTATCTTAGCAGCTCACGCATATGTGTCAGCTAACTGATAGTCACTATTGAAGAATCACGTGGTCTGTACTTGTAGCCATGGGCATGTGGTCTCACGACTTTTTAAAAAAAAAAAAAGGCAAATAAGAGAATGGGAAAAAAACCCCAAGGCTATACAGTATGTTATTGGTGTAACATAAAGAATGGTATAACCACCTATTTCAGCAAATGGGTCTAGAATGCTTCCCTTAGAGCACTTGAAACAAAACTTCAGTGTGCCAGAATCTTAGTTTTTGGGAAGACTTAACAAGTATAATTTAGCAGATGGGAATGAGCATAGGCTAAAAACATACACCTGAGGTTTCGTGAAGCTTTAGTGTGTTGGAAACAGTGAGGCCAAAGCATTATTCCAAAAATTATTTTTTTCTTTTCTTTACCTGGGACTGTAAACATCCCAAACTGGCTTGACATGTAAATTCAATTACAGCTGAATTGTTCAGCAAAAGGCCTGGCTACTAGCGTTTGCTCTAGTAATGACAATGATTGCTGCCTGAAACAAAGCTGTAATATGCTTTTTTAATTTTCTCTCATGTAGCTGCCCAGTCTGGAGTGCTTGATAAAACTATTTCCCTGGTAATGAAGAACCAGTTGCCAACTAAAAAGGTACCTACAGATCTTGTTTGAGGGAGAACTTATCTTGAATGTTTTCATTCTTATGCAGGAAGTCTTGCAAGCAGCTAGACTGTGTGAGGCAGAAGACAGGAAGGGCTTTGCATCATCAGCTGGAGTGCTAAATGGCTAAATACTGCATTGCCATAATAGTGATTTGCACAATCCATATTCTTGATACTGCCATTAAAAATACTGTTTTTATATTCTGAGTTGAATGAAGTTGAGAGGCCAGGTAGTCTGGGTTCCTCACCAATGCACATGACTTACTAGAGTAAAACTGTTGACTAGTGTAATCCTAGTCCAGGAAAACCCTTGCAAACTTGACACACCTGTAAAATTGTAGACTTCCCTCCCCTGTACAGAACATGTTTTTTTAAAGAGTTAAAGGCTGTGTACTACAGAAGATTTTAAGGCTACAACTATGTTCAAATTTATCTTCAAAACTTGGCTTCTGAATTAATATTCCTTGGGGTACTAACCCGAATCACCACAGATACTCCCGTGATCCTCTGGAACTTCTTGCAACTAGACTGAGGATCCTGTTTATGTACGACCTGTTAAAGTGAGCACCAGCTCTCATCCTCATCTATTGGTCACTTACTCTGCTGGTTACAATAATACCCACCAATGGACATAAACCCCTATTGTGCTAGTTCTAATTTAAGCAATGTTGTTAAGCAAATCTACATTTGAAATAAAATGCTTCAGTATTATAGTTATTAAACTGCAATTAGCTTAGCAGCCTTCCAGACTTACTGGTACTAATGCTGTAAGCGTGGAAATCTACTAATAACTTATTTTGAAATATGGATATTAACAATAGGGCTTGTAAAACCTCAGCATTTAGACTTCATTCAGATTAATGAAAAAGGGTTGTTCTTCCTTGCAGTATGATGGATATACTTCCTGCCCACTAGTAACAGGCTACAACAAGGTGATTCTGGCAGAATTTGACTACGATGCTCAGCCTTTGGAGACCTTTCCCATTGACCAGAGTAAGGAGAGAGCCACCATGTACCATATGAAAGCTGATGTGATGCCTTTTCTCTATTGGAACGGACTGCTTAGGTAAGTATTTCAATTCTGAGCAGAGTTGCTGTGATGATTCAGAAAGCCAGGTAGAAATACCTGCTCTGGCTTAGTTCCTTAGTAGGACAGAACCAAATGAAGTGCATTCTGTCACGACTCTGACCTCGACTTTGGGAAGATTCCAGTCACTTAGCTGTTAATGGGTTTGTCAAGCAGAACAGGGCAGCCCTCGCTGAAGTGAAAACCTCACTGAGGCAAAATGATTCTTCAAAACCCCTAATGCTCATCTCTTGGCAAGTATTGTGTCTTATAGGAGTAAAACACTTCCCCCAAACGATACTTTACTTGAAAAAACTTTCTCCATTTCTAGGGGATACTGGGGAGGACCGGCTCCAGTCAGGAAGCTAATGCATCTGGGCATGAAGTAACTGCTGCTTCTGTGTTGGTCAAACCCTTTTGAAGAAAAAAGACTGGTCTCACACTGGATCAATACATCTTTTCTCTTGGACCATCTATTAGACTGATTTTTATTATTTTTTTCTTTAAATCAAGCTTTTGTCCAGAAGTAATTTTTCCCTAAGGATTAAGCCTTTGTACACTCTTATCTATGTAAACCAAGGCCTTAAACTAATTCTGCACATGCACAGGAGTTTGAACTTGCATTAAGCTATAGAACACTACTGAAACCTTCTAGAGCATTTAAAGCTGTTGTTTTGTTTATGTAAACCTTTCTCCCTGATTCTAAACTGAATTGTTGGCATCGGAGATCAATGTGTGCACTGGATTCAACAGCGTAATTCAATGTTAGTAAAATGGCATTAAAACCTCCTATTGTTTTCTCATTTTTGAGAAGCAAAATCTTTTTTTCTTCATAAAGAAGCATACTTGCTGCCTAATAAGGTAGATTATAGAAATCATGCAGATCATGGAAAGTGATGAACTCAAAGCAGTGTATGTGTGTGTACATACACATACTCTCCTAGGATAGTTTGTGCCACTTCACATCAGTTCTGCTATAATGTTGTACTCTTACAGATTAAGAACACAGTGAAAAGAACTCCCACTAGACTGCAAGTGGGAGAAAACCAAGGTCAGCAGAAGCCACATACTAGGCTGAAGCACAAATTAAGATGACAGACAAAGGGGAAGTGCTTTTTAATTATGACCATATGAACAAAGTTAAATTTAAGAGTTGGGAGTCTTCACAGAAGCTGGAACTTTAGTGGCAGTCAGGCAGGCAGCGTAGAGCAAACAGGAATCATCTTCACTCACAAGAATCAGCAGCAGCAGCTTATTTCTAAACAGAAAGATACATGAACATAGTTACAGCATCATTCTTTTTCAGCATAGCCTTTAAAAGGGTTGCTTTTGGGTTGCAGTTCTAAGCATGAACATGTACCTGCATTTTAAGTAGTTCTTCAATCTTATTCTGGATCTGTCCATACACATCGTTAAACAGCTCCTCCTTTGATTTTGTTCCATTCAAGTGCACTTAAAGTAAGAAAGTAAAATATGAAAGCTGTAACTGAATGTTTCTGTAAGCCTGCCAGATCCCAATCTGAAGAGCATGCATTTGACTTATCAGAGAAACACAGCCCATCCACTTGCTTGAGCTCCTCTCCTGCACTTAACCAGTCAGTATGCATATGCTACGTTTGAAAAGCATTTTCATAAAGCCATCTTTCAGAAGTGCTTTGGCCATTAAAGACTTACCTACATCGACTCCAAGATCTTCCATTATCTTCCTGTGCTTTACATACATAGGCCAAACATGGCCATCAAACAATCCGGGTGGATCTGGTACAGTGTAATTCCTTGAACTATAAATTAAAACATGGTTATTCAAGAGTAGCCCAGTTACAGTTTCGGGTAATAACATCTATTTCTCTACACACTAGTTTTGAGCATGTTGCCTCCAATGCAGTTTCTGAGCTTATCAAAAGTCAGTACTTGGCATAAGCTGCAAGCATAAAGGTACCCCCAGAAAAGCTGGAATTTAATGTGTGAGTCGAAAGTGTTCAAGATGCAAAAAGGATTCTTCACACAGCCTGATCTTCATCCTGGTGAACAGCCTTCTCTTAAAGTTTTAGCAAAACTTGGGTTAAATAGCTGTCTGCTTATTCCTCTGAAATATAACTTCTTCAAATTTAACATGTTTCATTTGCATTAAGAACAGTGTATGTGTACAACCCTGCAGCCAAAGACAAACCCCCAGCATAGCTGAAGACCAGGGAACTGTGTTACTGGAAGACCAGAAGGAAAGAAAACCTATTGAAACTGAGCATCAGTCTCACATACACAATACTTCAGTAGGAAGCTTTTGGGTTGGTTTGCTAAAGGAAGCTACAGTCTTCTAACACAACAGCTACATGAGTGTTCAACCTTTCTTGTCTAAAAGCTTTGGAGAAATAGTCTTGAGCAGAATAAGATGTTATTGGGCTAGTGAGAGAACTTCGAAACATAAATTTACCTTCTTCTCCTTTTGCACTCTTCATATGGAATGGAAAGAAAGTATCGATGGTGGAATACATCAATCAGTGGCCTAAAAAAGATACATGTTTGGTTACAGCTAGAATCTGATTAGTAGCAAGAAATGGAAAGGTAAAACTACATTCACTTCCTGTATGGAGACCTACTATCTTCAGACTTGTGACACCTCAACTCACCAGCAGTCACAACTACCTGCTAGCTCTTTGTTTAGAGCAGGTCTTTTTATTCCCCTGGACATTTGCCTGCCACATAAAGTACAAATTAAAATAGATGAAGTCACAGTTGATTACCTATAGGTGTAAAGTAGGAAGCCTTCAACAATAAGAATGTGAATTGTTTTATCTTCTCTCTCCTTATCCTGTAAGATCTGGGCATCCAGCGTGTTGTTGATCCCATGAGAACGTTCAAACTTGACTGGGTTTTTTATCCAAGCGTTTATGGTACTCATCATAGCTTCCATATCTAATGCACTGATCACTAAGGCAAAACAGACAACTATCATTAAGCATCAAAATTAAGCATCATCTAGTAAGTCCGCACAAGAAAGAGCGCACGTAAAGGATCAAAATAATTCTAGGCTGCGTTACACTTGGATAATGCTGTAGCAAAGCCTTACCGTCATACTGTTTAAACCCATCTTCAACTTCTATTTCATCTTGGGGCTGAAACAGTGACAAGGGGAAAAAAACGCTTGGTCAGTGCAGCTACTAAGAAGGTGTTTCAAAGCAACATTCAAGACGCAAATCCCGGAGCTACAAAGAGGAATCTTAACCCTCCACCAGGTTCCTGCGCGTGTAGGTAACGAGCGGTGGCAACGAGGC